CCATTGCCCCCCACACACCCCACACTGGAATAAGAACATAATATCAGGCCATACCACATTGCAATAAAGCCCCTACAACTGTATACAGAAATACTGAGCTTCCCTACCATTTGCCACAACTAGCCCACCACACAACCAGGATCAAGACTCCTAAGTGGACCAACAGACAGGCATACACTCGTTTGAGAAACTGAGTATTACATTACAACACCTCTGGAACATTACAGATCAGTAGAGGCAGCACTGCACAGTGGTCAGAGTTGCAGATTGATGTGGGGAGACCCAGGTTTGTATTCTCACTCTGCTGGCTGAGTGACCCCGGGCCAAATCTCCCCTTCTCTACCTAACCTACCCCACAGGGTTGTTGTGAGGGTAACACACACACAATTTTTAAAAAGGTGTTCAAAAGTTGGAACTATTGGAAGGGGAAGGACTTGCCTGGGGCACCACTGGATCTAGGGCTGGTCCTGCATACATGCAGCTGGGATGAATCTGAATTAGCGTTACAGAGTGCTCAGGGGTAAAATCTGTAGGGGCTTGCTACATGTCCCCACCCCCTGGCCTCCTCTCAGGGCCGGCCCCAGTTTTTTAGCACACTAGGCTGCAACAAACTTTGCAACAAAATCTGAAACACTATGTACAACAAATACTTTTCAGCAAACTAAATCCTGGCTTGAGTCCAGTGGCACCTTTAAGATCAACAGATGAGCTTTTTTGTGCACAAACACTCTTCTTTAGATACAATGAAATATAGAGAGAGGGTGGGCAGTAACTTCACATACATGTATGTTAAAGAAGCTCATACTAGAGTTGCCAGGTACCTCCCGGCCACTGGCGGGGGATGCCAGATACAGACTGGGAGATGCCAGCGGGCTCTGTTTCAGGCCACCCGCCACAGCCTCCAACCCCTCAAAAAGTTCTCCTCTTCCCAGATCTATCATTGGAAGCATTAAATAAACAGAGAAGCCTTAAACCCATCACAACTAGGCTTGCTAATGCATGCATTCATTACAGATAACAACATAAGAGAAGCCATTGTTGGATCAGGCCAATGGCCCATCCAGTCCAACACTCACACAGTGGCCAAAAATACCAGGTGCCATCAGGAGGTCCAGCAGTGGGGCCAGGACACTAGAAGCCCTCCCACTGTGCCCCCCCCAAGCACCAAGAATACAGTGCATCACTTGCCCCAGACTGAGAGTTCCTATCTATAGCTTGTGGCTAATATCCACTGATAGATCTTTGCTCCATATGTTTATCTAATTCCCTCTTGAAGCCGTCCATGCTTGTAGCTGCCACCACCTCCTGTGGTAGTGAATTCCACGTGTTAATCACTCTTTGGGTGAAGTACTTCCTCGTCTGGTCTGCTACAAGTAGTATCATCCTTAATCACCAAGAGAAGTCCTATGTAGCTACAAGATCTAGAGAGCAGGCAAGGTCTCCTCCAAGCTTTAAACATCGAAGCTCCAGCAGACCCTCCAAAGATTTCTTCAAAGGAAGAAAACAAATGGAGCAAAATACCAATTACACAGTCTCAATAACATTAAAGCTAGCATTAATACTGATGCACTTTCTCCTTATTCTTTTCTTAGTTATATGATATGTAATTTGAACAAGGGATCAAGGTTGTTTCCTTGAACAAGGCATGATTTGGGCAATAGGATT